AGTTTTCCAGGCCTGTCCTTGTAGCCTTCCAGCTCTTCCCTCTCTGTATGCGACTGTGTCCAACTCCCCCTGGTTTTTTTTTTGTTTTTTTGTTGTTTTGTTTTTTTTTGAGACAGTCTTGCTCTGTGGCGCAGGCTAGTGCAGCAATACGATCTCGGCTCACTACAACTTCTGCCTCCCAGGTTCAAGTGAATCTTCTGCCTCAGCCTCCCAAGTAGCTGGGATTACAGGTGCCCACCACCATGCCTGGCTAATTTTTGTATTTTTAGTAGAGACAGGGTTTCGCCATGTTGGCCAGGCTGGTCTCAAACTCCTGACCTCAAGTGATCCACTTGCCTTGGCCTCCCGAAGTGCTGGCATTACAGGCCACCACTGCCTCCCTAACTTCCCCTTTTAGTAAAGGACAGAGATCAGACTGGACCAGGCGCCCACACCTTCAGTATAACCTCCGCTCCATCCTTAGCAAAAACTCAAATTGCCAAATAAGGTCCTGTTCTGAGGTCAGGATTTCTGCACTTGCCTTTCGGGGTGACAGTTCAGCTCATGACAGGGCCTAATCCAGAGCATGTGTCTCCATTGCGGACCCCCTCAGGGCTCTGGAGGAGGGGGTGGTGAAGGGGAGGGAGGCTGGGGCTGTGGCCTCTGGGGCACAGGGGCTGTATTTATGGCTTGTTTAGTGGGAGGATGGAGGGACGGATCAGGTGGGCCTGGGGAGGCAGGGGCATCACAGTGCCGCCCAGAAAGTAAGGGACAGAGCCCTCAGAGGGCAGGGAGCAAACGGTGGGTGGAGTGGGGGGCTGCCGGCACAGTGGGCAGCTGTTGGGTGGGTGGGGGGACAGGTTGATAATGTCCCTGTGGGGGGGTCGAAGTGCCTGAGTTGCAGCCTCAGGAGGCTGGGGATGGCCAGAGCTGCCATCTCACACCACTGAGGGAGGCAGCGGGAGTGCCAGACCCACACTGTGCCTTTCCACGCTGAGGGGGTCTTGGGGACACACAGCCCTGTGCTCAGCCCCTTTCTCCCCTCACGGGGGCCCAACCTGTACCCTGTACATGGCAGCTGTGGGCACTGCGGGACACTCAGGCCCCAGGAGGAGTTGGAAGGTGGGGATGGTGGAGACTTCCACTCATGAGGCCCCCAGCCCCTGCCCCCTTCCTGGCTTTCTACACCTAGCCATCTTATCTCCCCACACCCGGGGCTCCTGGCTCTGAAAGCCAATTCCTCCCTTATCAGCGGCGGCAGCCTCTGGGCGCCGCGTCGGGGGCCTGGGTCCTCTCTGTCTGCGCCTGTCTCCTCTCTCCGCTTGTCAGCTTGGGGCTCTCGCCACCCAGTGCCCACCCCCCACCCCATGCTCCCTTTCACGCTCTCTTTCTCTCCAGCCTCCTTCCAGCGCCAGTCCTGGTTGCTATGGAAACACTGCAGCGGGTACCAGGTGGTGGCTGGGGGCAGGGAGCCTGCACTGCCGCAGCCTGCGCCATTTCCGATGCCAGGCACCCTCGAGGCACAGTGGCAGGGGCTCACGGTGGGGGCGCTTGGCTTCTCCAGGCCTCACAGGCTTCTCCTGGGCTGATGGGAGCTGGGGAGAGAGAGGGATGGACGTGGGAGTGAGAATGTCACATGGAAGGCAGCTGGTGGCACGATGGGGGACAGAGTGAAAGGTGGCAAGTCAAGGTGAACTGAAGGGTGATCAGAACCGAGGGAGGCTGCGGACGGGGGTGGAGGCTTTGGGAAGGGGACCCGTGCTGCAGGGCTAAGGAGGCTGGGCCTGCTGAGGCAAGGGCACCTCGAGGAGAAGCCGCAACCGGGGCTTCCGCTGCCTGCGAGAGGGCTGGGGGTGCGGCAAGGCTGAAGCTTCCCTCAGACCTTGGCCACTTGAGGACAAAAAGGGGAGCTGAGCACAAGGGGACAGACAGAGCCCAGATCCCTGTCACCATCTCTTCTCCCCACCCAAAGCAAGATGCAGTTTCCATGACAACCTGGCCAGCCAGAGATGGGGGCAGGGGACTGCAGAGGAAATTTTCCACATCAGCAGAGAGCAAGGAGGGTGTGCTTCGGAGAAGGGGCACGCAGGACTCCCAGAACCCCTAGTCACCATGCTCACCGCGCCAGGCCCGGGAAAGTGGTCAGAGCGCAGAGAAGGATTCCTGCCTCCACTCCAGCAGACCCACACCCCCACCCTGGGTCTGCAGGGAAGGGAGAGGGCTGAGCCCAGAGGCTCAAGGGTCAGATGTCCAAAGAGCAGCAGCTGCCCAGCCTCGTGCGGGGGCGGTGAGCAGTCCAGGGAGCCCAGCCTCGTGCGGGGGGCGGTGAGCAGTCCAGGGAGCTCAGGCCACAGACCACCACACTCAGGGCCATGGCCGACAGGGGCCCATGGAGGGTGGGCGTGGTGGGCTACGGCCGCCTCGGTGAGTCCCTGACCATCTTGGGCCTCCTTCCTAAAGCTCCCAAGGCTCTCTGCCCTCCATAAACACAACTTCTCTATGTCTCTGTCTGCCCCTGGCTGTGTCTCTGGGTCTATCCACCACACCCCACCTTGGGTCTCTGTCTTTTTCTCCATCTGTCCCCTTCTCTCTGGCCCTCTGTCTACCCCACTGGGTCTCTGCCCCTGCCTCTGTCTCTATCTCCCCGATCTCTGGGTCTCTGTCCCCACCTACTCTCTCTCTCCAGGTATCTGGTCCCCACTTCCCCTCCCCACCCCCCCGCCTCTCTCTCTCTCTCTGGGTCTCTTTCCTCCCTTCCTCTCCCTCTGGGTCTCTGTCCACTTCTCATTGGGTCTGTCTCCCTCTCTCTCTCTAGGTCTCTGTCCCCTCCTCTCTGGGTCTCTGTCCCCCTCTCTCTGAGTCTCTGTTACCCCCCCGCTGCCGGGTCTCTGTCCCCTTCTCTTTGAGTCTCTGTCCCCGCCTCCTTTCTCTCTGGGCCTCTGTGACCCTCTCTCTGGGGCTCTGTCCCTTCTCTCTGAGTCTCTAGTCCTCTCCTTTCCCTCTCCCCAGGACAGTCCCTCGTCTCCCAACTGTTGGCTCAGGGACCAGAACTTGGCTTAGAACTTGTTTTCGTCTGGAATCGTGACCCAGGACAAATGGCAGGGAGTGTGCCCCCTTCCCTGCAGCTCCAGAACCTTGCTGCCCTTGGGGAAAGGTCAGTGACCTTGCCATGGGAGAGTGGAGCTCCCTGAAGCTCCTGTCCAGTCCCCCTCAGCCGCTGTGTGATTGATCTCAGGGACTCCCTGAACCTCTGGACCTTGGTCCATGCAAATGTGAAACGGATGAGCCCATTCATCGCATTTTGCCTCCCAGGCCAGGGAGAAGAGGGCAACCCTCAGTAGACTAAGAGAGAATCTTGGGGAGAAGAGGCCTAATACCTCTCCAAGACCCTCTGCCCTCTTTCCCCTCTCTCAGGCACCCTGATCTGGTTGTGGAAGTGGCCCATCCCAAAATAATCCATGAATCTGGGGCACAAATCCTGCGCCATGCCAATCTCCTGGTAAGCCCCGCCCCCAACCATTCACGCAGAGCCCTTCCCCTTGTGTCTTAGTCTTACCCTACCCTAAAGTAGAGATCCTTCTCTGACCTCAACCCTCCCTCCTTCGTGCACCCCAGGTGGGGTCCCCCTCAGCCCTAGGTGACCAGACCACAGAGCGGCAGCTCTTGGAGGCCTCGAACCACTGGAACCATGCCGTGTTTGTGGCCCGAGGGGCTCTGTGGGGCACTGAGGACATCAGGAGATTGGATGCAGCTGGGGGCCTCCAGGTTCGGGTCTGCTGGGCTCCCGAGGAACCGGAGGGGGCCTGCCAAGACCCTACACCCCCTGACCCGGGCTCTTGCTTCCAGAGCCTGCGTGTCACCATGGCCACACACCCCGATGGCTTCCGGCTGGAGGGACCCCTGGCTGCAGCCCACAGCACCGGGCATCGCACTGTGCTCTATGAAGGCCCTGTCCGTGGGCTCTGCCCCTTTGCCCCCCGAAACTCCAACACCATGGCGGCCGCTGCCCTGGCTGCCCCCAGCCTGGGCTTCGATGGGGTGATTGGGGTGCTTGTGGCTGATCTCAGGTGAGCAGAGCTGAGCAGGGGTTGGGCCAAGTCCAGGGTAACCAGACTGACCGCCCTGCTTGCCCCAGCCTCACGGACATGCACGTGGTGGACGTGGAGCTGAGCGGACCCCCGGGCCCCACGGGCCGAAGCTTTGCTGTGCACACCCGCAGAGAGAACCCTGCAGAGCGAGGCGCGGTCACCGGCTCTGCCACCGTCACGGCCTTCTGGTGGAGCCTCCTGGGTGCGGCCAGGCTCCGCTCCCCCAGCCCTGGGCTCCTGTGTCTGCAGAGGGTGGGGTCCCAGGCCCTGGCTAGTTCTGCAGTTCTGGTTCTGTCCTTGTTGACCTTTACTTCCGACCTTTATTTCCTTAACCCTCTCTCTCCACGACTTTGAATCCTGGCACTGTAGATGTCTCCATCTCTGTCCGTGTCTCCTCTCTTGAGTCTCTGTGCCCGCCTCTGTCTGGTACTGTGTGTGTGTATGTGTGTGTGTGTGTGTGTGTGTGTCTCTGTCCACCCCCAGGGCTCTGTCTTGCTTTCTTGGGGGTCTTCCTCCACCGCCGCCCTGGCCTGTCCCTTTCTCTCACCACTGCCTCTCATCTCTCCTCTCTCAGTAGCTCATTCCCCTCTCTCCCCGCAGCCTGCTGCCAGCTCCCCTCCAGGCCGGGGATCCATCTCTGCTGAGAAGCCTCTCCCTCCCGAGACGAGATCATCTGACTGGCCTCCCTCTCCTGCCCTGCTCCACTTCCCCAGGATCTCCCTTCTAACTCAGTAAAGATCACAGATGCCCGCAGCTCCGCCGCCTGGCGTCTCTGGTCCTGTTTCCCTTGTGTGACGTCACGCTGCGTCTACGCACCGCGCAGGACGCCATCACAAGGGGCGAGCACCCGCGACAGCGCGGAGCCAGGAAGCTATCGCGAGAGCCTACCCACTATATTTCCCAGAATCTCTGCGCGGCAGTGGGCGCGGCCGTACGCGAGGGAATGGCCTCTGAGGCGCACTTCCGGGACTTGCCGCGGGGCCCGACCAAAGTTGTAGTGCGGCGTTTTCTGGGCCCGACAGCGGACCTCAGGGCTACGCGCCCTGGGCGTTCCTTGTGGAGCAAGCGTCCCGCGGGGACCCACGGGAGTAGCAGTCCGGCGTGCGGGGACCGCCGGGAGCTGTAGTCCGTCCCTCCTGCCCAGTCAGCGCAGCGCTGCCCGCCCCGCACTGGGAGCCCAGATCCGCCGCCCAGGAGGGGGATGCGGAAGCCCCTGGCTCGGTGGAGTGGAGAGGCTGGCGGGGTGAGGGGCGTTGCCAGGCAAAGGGCGAGCGCCGTGGTTGGGCTGCGGGTCGGTGAAGGGCTCCATTCCTTGGTGTCCGGGGACGGGGCCTGGTTGCCGGGAGATGGGAAGAGGTACTCCTGTTGCTTAGTGACTGGGGAGAGGGCCCCCCCCCCGTTGCCAAGTGACAAGAGCAGAGAGCCTGGCTGCTTCCTGACCAGGGAAGGGAGTCTTCTGTTGCTAGGAGACCAGAGGGGACCCTATCACCTAGAGACAGAGGAGGAGGACCCTCTATTGCTAGGTGCTCGGAGGACAGACTGTTACCTAGTGCGGTGGGACGGGGGCTGTGTTGCTAGGTAACCACAGAGCGCCCCGGTTACCTAGGGACAGGGGAGGAGGGTTCCTCTGTTGCTAGGTGAGCATGTTAGGGACCCTGTTACTTAGAGACGTGGTGGGGGTGGTTCTCTGTTGCTAAGGGAGCTGAAGAGACAGCCTTTTTCGTAGGAATAGGAATAGGGGATGGAGGAACGTGTACTGCCAGGAGACTGCCAGGGAGCAGGATCAGGGGCCCGGGGTCCTCCCGGACTGTCCCGAGCCCCAGCTCAATCAATGGCGATGCCCCAAAGGCCTGCTGGGAGGTTGAACCTCTAGATACCAGGCCCCTGAGGACCTTCTCCCCCTCCCAACCCCCAGCAGGAGCCAAGGACGGCATGTCCCAGGCCCCGGGAGCACAGCCGAGTCCGCCCTCTGTGTACCACGAACGGCAGCGCCTGGAGCTGTGTGCCGTCCACGCCCTCAACAACGTTCTGCAGCAGCAGCTCTTTAGCCAGGAGGCTGCCGATGAGATCTGCAAGAGGTGACCGTCACCCACCCCAGCCCCTGGAGCAGCAGGCAGGCGCGCTGAGCCTGGGGGCCTTTCTTCTGCCCCCACCCTGCTCACTTGCCTAAGCTAGACACTGGGGAGATGTTGCCTCCTGTGCCTGTCTGTCCCTGTGGCTTCAGCCCCAGCCAGGCCTCAATCCGGTGGTTCTTTCGTTTTTTTAGAGACAGTCTTGCTGTGCTGCTCGGCTGGCCTCGAGCTCCCAAGCTTAAGTGATCCTCCCACCTCAGCCTCCCCAGGAGCTGTGATTACAGGCTCACCCAGCTTCAGGGTCTCTTATCTGGGCCCTGTCACAGCTCTCCAGTCCATCCTAAACATGCCCCGCCCTGCTCAGGGCCCTCCTCGTAGCAGAGGCTGAGCCTGCCTCTGCAGCTTCAGCCATCAGACCCCCTCAAACCAGACTTCACTCCACTCCCCTGGAGGCCCCACTGTGTGGCCTCTGGGCCTCCAAGTACTTCTTTCTGCCTGGCGTGGCTGCCTTCCCTGCCAGCCTGGAATGTTCCTCTTCACTATTCACCATGTCAAACATCACTCCTTAGCCAGGCATGGTGGCTCACTCCTGGAATCCCAGCACTTTGGGAGGCCAAGGTGGGTGGATCACTTAAGGTCAGGAGTTTGAGACCGCCCTGGCCAACAGGGTGAAACCCTATCTCTACTAAAAAAATTTAAAAAACATTAGCTGGGCATGGTGGTACACACCTGTAGTCCCAGCTACTCTGGAGAATTGCTTGAACCTGGGAGACAGAGGTTTCAGTGAGCCAGGCAACAGAGCAAGACCCTGTCTCAAACAAACATATGCCTTTATCATCTCACTCCCTCCTCTCTGTCCCCATGTCCTTGGCCCTAGCTCAGGCCTGACCCTCTCCTGCCCAGCCTGCCTGTGACCGCCAGTCTGTCCCCTCCCTCAGTCCCCACATGACACTAGAGGGTCTTTCTACACCCAGAGATAGCCCTGCCTCCTCTGCGCCTTGCTCGAAGCCTCCTTCGGCTCCCGGATAGCCTGAGTCTCAGACTGATTATTATGGGGTATATTCATCTCTGTCATTCAGAACAAGGACCCATCAGCTCTTTCATGCCAAAGCCATGCTGGAGACCCTGAGATGACTGATACACGAGTGCTGGCCTGAGGGAGGCGAGGGAAACACACACACAGGAGCTTTTTCGTCCCGTGCCCTGCTCTCCCAGGGCCCAGATAGGGAACAGATGTGCAGCGGTTCAGAGGCAGGGCCCAAAGATGCAAGTGTTGGCTGGCAGAAGAGCCTTCTTGGCGGGGCGTGCCCTACAGGGGATGTGGGTGGGGACAGGGCCAGGAAGAAGGGGGCTAAGGCTCTGAGGTAAGGCCACCAGGTCCAGACCACGCAGGACCTCGTGGGAGTCTGTCCTGGGGGAAGTGAGGCAGCAGAGTGGGCTGTGACCAGGGGAAGGGCAGGGCTGCCCCGTGGGAGGAGCAGGCAGTGTTCAGTCAGGGTGATCCGGGCAGCTGTCATCATTGAGGTGCTCAGTTCACTGGGGCAGCCCAGAGAGGGCCTTGACTCAGCCTGGAGGTCAGGAGGCTCCTCTCAGAGGATGTGACATCTGAGGTGGGTCTTGACAGACAGAGGAAGGGACTGGCCAAGGGATGGGGACTTTGTCCAGGGGCGCTGGGGAGCCATGGGAGGCCTGTGAGCAGGGGAGGCTCAGGGCCTCAGGGAAATGGACTAGAGTGAGAGACTGGGGGACAAAGACTTTCTGGGGCCTTGTGGACAGGGCAGAGTCAGGGCTGGAGACACAGGACTTGAGGGTGGATGAGTTGTGGGGTCTGAAGCGGGGAGAGTCAAAGACTGAGGCAGCTTGAGGCATTTTGTGGGGTGGCCTTTCCAGGGGTTCCCCAACTCAGCTCTGGACACCCCCACTACCAGGTTGGCCCCAGACTCCCGACTGAACCCTCATCGCAGCCTCCTGGGCACTGGCAACTATGACGTCAACGTGATCATGGCTGCTCTGCAGGGGCTGGGCCTGGCTGCCGTGTGGTGGGACAGGCGGAGGTAGGCCCCAGAGCAGCACACCACGTGCCGGGCACCAAGGGTGCCCTGTAGTGTAAGCCTGTCGGGTGGAGAGGCAAGGAGGGAAATGCGGCTGGGGGAGGGGGCATGGATGTGGGAAGACTGGTGCTGGCTGGTTGGTGGGGGAGATCAGGTGGTCAATGGGCTGAGATGCTGGGTGAATGCTGTGTGGGTGGTTGGATGTGTTGGATGAGGGGGTATGAAGGGATGGGTGTTCGTGGCCAGTGGCTGGTGGATCGGGGTAGACCGATGGCAGAGTGGGTGAGGAGTAGGGGCCATGGTGGGCTTCTGTTGGGAGGTGGCTGGCTACATGGGTGGGGAGCAGTAGATGGCTAGCTGGATGGTGATGATGGTGGGTGGCTGGCGGGGAGGTGGGGTGGGTGTGTGTGAGGGATGGAAAGTGGATGCATAGATGGGGGTGAGTGTGTGAATTGTCGTTGGGAAGTTGGCTGGTGGCTGGGATCGGTGGAGTGGGCGGATCGTGGGTGGATCCTGGGTGGCTGTGTGAGGAGTGAAGTTGGTGGGTGGGTGGCTGGACAGATGGGGTGATGGTGGTTGGTGAAGGGAAGATGTGAGTTGGGTGGGCGGTGGGTGGATGGGAGGTCTGGTTGGGAGTCTGCATGGGTGGGAGGTTTGTTTGAGTGGGCGGTGAACAGATGAGTGTCAGGAATCAGGGTGACTGATTAAGGAACACCCCTGGCTGGGCTCAGGAGGCCCCCCCACCGCCACCAGCCTGGGCCCCACATGCTCCCCAACATTTCACCAGCAGGTGGGCAGAGCAGGCCCTGATGGCGGTGTCCCCCCCTGCCCACACAGGCCCCTGTCCCAGCTGGCCCTGCCCCAGGTGCTGGGGCTGATCCTGAACCTGCCCTCGCCCGTGTCACTGGGGCTGCTGTCGCTGCCACTGCGGCGGCGGCACTGGGTGGCCCTGCGCCAGGTGGACGGCGTCTACTACAACCTGGACTCCAAGCTTCGGGCGCCCGAGGCCCTAGGGGACGAGGATGGAGTCAGGTGAGCCCCTCACAGGCGATTCCAAGACCATGGGCTCCATCCCGAAACCCCACTCCCTGGAGGGAATGCTGTGGCTGGCCAAGCCTCAGTCTCCCCATTTCTCCCACCCAGGGCCTTCCTGGCGGCTGCGCTGGCCCAGGGCCTGTGTGAGGTGCTGCTGGTGGTGACCAAGGAGGTGGAGGAGAAGGGCTGCTGGCTGCGGACAGACTGACCACAGCTGACCGTCGTGCCCATTGGCACGGTTCCTGCGCTTCTTCCTCCTGTGTACACTGCGTGCCTGGGAAAGGCCTGCATCCATGGACCCGGGGTAGGCCCATACCCTCCCACATCCCTGCTCCCCACTGCCACTGCTGCCTCAATAAATCTGCTGATTTGCCGCTGGCCTGGCCTATGTCTGACTGCCCTGCCCTTCTGGAGCCCTTCCACTCAGTGACTCCCACTTATCTGAGAGGCCACCCTGGTGGGTGGGGTGAGAGCCCAGGACTCCTCCTGGTTCTCTGCCACCTCATGCCAGTTTCTCACTACTGGGCCTCAGTTTCCTTATCAGGGACACAGCAGAAAACAACACAAGTCCGTGCCCCCTGGGGCTGACACCCCTCCCCTTTGGGAGAGAGGCCAGCAGCAAACAGATGAGTTCCATCTCCTGGTTCCACAGGGGTGACTGCTAAGGAGAAAGGGCTTACTTCTTTATTTGATGGATGGATGGATTGATTGAGGCAGGGTCTCACTCTGTCACCCAGGCTGGAGTGCAGTGGGTCAGTTACAGCTCACTGCAGCCTTGAACTCCTGGGCTCAAGTGATCCTCTCCCCTCAACCTCCAAAGTAGTTGGGACCACCACACCTGGCTGCTTTCTTCACGTTTTTTTGTAGATATGGGATCTCACTCTGTTGTCCAGGCTGGTCTTGAACTCCTAACCTCAAACAGTCCGCCTGTCTCACCTTCCCAAAGTGCTGGGATTATAGGTGTGAGCCACCATGCCCGAGTTGACTTCTGGACTCTCGATTCTATTCCACTGATTGGTAGATGGGAGAACAGTGGCCCCAAAGCTGTGCACACCCTGGCCAGATGTGGTGGCTGTGCCTGTAAGTGAAGTGCTTTGGGAGGCTGAGGCCCATAAGTATGAGACCAGCCTGGGCAACACAGCAAGACCCTGTCTCTACAAAAAAATTAAAAATAAGTGGGATGTGAGGCCGGTGGCTTACATCTGTAACCCCAGCACTCTGGGAGGCTAAGGCAGGTGGATCACCTGAGGTCAAGAGTTCAAGACCAGCCTGGCCAACATGGTAAAACTCCATCTCTACTAAAAATACAAAAATTAGCCCGGTGTGGTGGTGAGCATCTGTAATCCCACCTACTTGGGAGGCTGAGGCAGGAGAATCACTAGAACCCAGGAAGCGGAGGCTGCAGTGAGCCAAGATCAAGCCACTGCACTCCAGCCTGGGTGACAGCGAGATTCTGTCTCCAAATAATAATAATAAATATAATTTTTGAATGCCCTGTCCTAGTCCCCAGAGCCTGTGAACATGCTGTGTTACACAGTCAAGGGGAAGTGAGGGTGCAGGTGGGATTGAGGCTGCCAGCCAGCTGACTTTGAGACCGGGAGAGTGTCCTGGATCCCCCGTGGGCCCCGTGTCATCACAAGGGTCCCCACAGCAGAGGAGGGACACCTGTGCAGACGGGCAGAGTCCGTCCACCATCCCAGCTTCCACCCAGTGGGAAGACCCAAGAGGACACCAAGCATTCCTATCCCAGCTGTGGGGCTTGTACGGGGTCCCCACGGGGCACTCCAGGGACCAGAGGACAGAGAAGGAACTCCGGGACAAGCAGGTTGCATAAAATGGGCGAGAGACAAGACCAGCCATGGAAGACTGCAGAGGGCTTTGCAGAGGCTGGCAGCGCAGGGGAGGGCGCTCCAGAATGGGAAGTCACCCTGTGAGACCTGGAATGCTGTGGCTGGTTTATCACCGGGAGTTATTTGGGGAGGTGACAAAGGAGGAGGGTGGGTCCTGGCCGGGAATCCAACCAGGCAAGACCTCTGAGGGCAGGCTGGAGCTGCGAGTAGGGAGGGGCAGGGCAGCTCTGGATGCAGAGACCCCTCTGGGGCTGCAGGGACAGAATGGAGGGGGGACTAGAGGCCAGGAGGCCCACAGGGAGGCTAGGAGGGGTCTAAATGGTGAGGTAGGGCTGGAGCCAAGCCCCTGAGGGCGATGGAGAGGAGGGTCTGAGCCTGGGGGGCCCTGGGAGGTGAGGAGGCAGGAGTGAGTGGAAGGTGGCCAGGGGCCTGGCTAAACCCGGTGACACCCACTAGGCACCCGCAGAAGTGGGGGACTCAGGTGCAGGGAGGCAGGGGTTCCCCCACTTGGGGTGTCTCCCCTCTAGGAGCAAGCCCGTGTGCCCCGGCGGGCAGTTCAGACTGCCTGCGACACCCCAGCAAGGTGGAGCTGACAGCCCGTAGGACGCACTCACAAAAGCCCTGGCCACGCAGGGAGCAGGGTGTGGCACACTGGTCTGCAAGTTCTCCCAAGGTCAGAGGGCAGGCCATAAGGTGAAAAGCCTGCAGTGGAGGGGAGGCTGCCGGGGGTTGTGGACACCCCAACTCCAGGGTGGCTGTAGGTTTGTCATATACAGCTTTTATCATTTTATGACACGTTCTGTCAATACCTAGTTGATTGAGAGTTTTTAGCATGAAGCGCTGTTGAATTTTATCGAAGGCCTTCTCTGCCTCTCTTGAGATAATGGTGCTTTTTGTCTTTGGTCGTTTACGTGACGGGTTACGTTTATGGATTTGCGTCTGCTGAACCAGCCTTGCATCCCCGGGATGAAGCCTGTTTGGTCGTGATGAATACGCTTCTTGATGTGCTGCTGCAATCCGTTTGCATTTTATTGAAGATTTCTGCGTCGATGTTCATCATGGACATTGGCCTGAAGTTTTCTTTGTTAGTTGTGTCTCTGCCTGGTTTTGGTATCAGGATGACGTTGGTCTCATGACTTAGGGAGGATTCCCTCGTTTTGTATTGTTTGATACAGTTTCAGAAGGAATGGAACCAGCTCCTCTTTGTACGTCTGGTACAATTCGGCTGTGAACCCGTCTGACCTGGGCTTTCTTTGGTTGGTGGGCTACTGATTGCTGCCTCTACGTCAGCCCTTGTTATTGGTGTATTCAGGGTTTCGGCTTCCTCCTGGTTTAGTCTTGGTAGAGTACAGGTGTCTAGGAATGTATCCATTTCTTCCTGGTTTACTGGTTTATGTGAGTAGAGCTGTTCCCAGGAGTCTCCGATGGTGTTTGTGTTTCTGTGGGGTCAGTGGTGATCCCCGATGGTGTGTGTTTCTGTGGGGTCAGTGGTGATCCCTGATGGTGTGTGTTTCTGTGGGGTCAGTGGTGATCCCCGATGGTGTGTGTGTTTCTGTGGGGTCAGTGGTGATCCCCGATGGTGTGTGTTTCTGTGGGGTCAGTGGTGATCCCCGATGGTGTGTGTTTCTGTGGGGTCAGTGGTGATCCCTGATGGTGTGTGTTTCTGTGGGGTCAGTGGTGATCCCCGATGGTGTGTGTGTTTCTGTGGGGTCAGTGGTGATCCCCGATGGTGTGTGTTTCTGTGGGGTCAGTGGTGATCCCCGATGGTGTGTGTTTCTGTGGGGTCGGTGGTGATCCCCGATGGTGTGTGTTTCTGTGGGGTCAGTGGTGATCCCCGATGGTGTGTGTTTCTGTGGGGTCGGTGGTGATCCCGATGGTGTGTGTTTCTGTGGGGTCGGTGGTGATCCCCGATGGTGGGTGTTTCTGTGGGGTCGGTGGTGATCCCCGATGGGTGTGTGTTTCTGTGGGGTCGGTGGTGATCCCCGATGGTGTGTGTTTTCTGTGGGGTCCGGTGGTGATCCCCGATGGTGTGTGTTTCTGTGGGGTCGGTGGTGATCCCCGATGGTGTGTGTGTTTCTGTGGGGTCGGTGGTGATCCCCGATGGTGTGTGTTTCTGTGGGGTCGGTGGTGATCCCCGATGGTGTGTGTTTCTGTGGGGTCGGTGGTGATCCCCGATGGTGTGTGTTTCTGTGGGGTCGGTGGTGATCCCCGATGGTGTGTGTGTTTCTGTGGGGTCGGTGGTGATCCCCGATGGTGTGTGTTTCTGTGGGGTCGGTGGTGATCCCCGATGGTGTGTGTTTCTGTGGGGTCGGTGGTGATCCCCGATGGTGTGTGTTTCTGTGGGGTCGGTGGTGATCCCCGATGGTGTGTGTTTCTGTGGGGTCGGTGGTGATCCCCGATGGTGTGTGTTCTGTGGGGTCGGTGGTGATCCCCGATGGTGTGTGTTTCTGTGGGGTCGGTGGTGATCCCCGATGGTGTGTGTTTCTGTGGGGTCGGTGGTGATCCCTGATGGTGTGTGTTTCTGTGGGGTCAGTGGTGATCCCTGATGGTGTGTGTTTCTGTGGGGTCAGTGGTGACGTCCCCGATGGTGTGTGTTTCTGTGGGGTCAGTGGTGACGTCCCCTTCATCGTTTTTTACTGCATCTGTTTGATTCTTCTCCCTTCTCATTTTTATTAATCTGGCTAGCGGTCTGTCTCTCTCAAGGTCTCTCTCAGTCTCTCCTCAGCTCACAGTCTCTCCCCACTATCTCTCTGTGTCTCTCCCCTTCTCCCTGGCCCCTCCCTGCCACCCCATGCCTGTCGCCTGTCCCATCACAGGTCCCAGACAGCCTGGCAGGGGCCTGAGTGTTGCTATTCTTGGCCTGAGTGGCAAGCAGGGCTGTGGCCCCCAGGTGCGTGCTGGGTTATGGCCAAATAAGGTCCGGAGTGAGGAGCCCAGGGAGGGGGAGTGGGGGGGGAGAGGGGCCGCTAACCTCCTCCTGCTCCCACTCCCTCCTGCCCTAACCCCCACATTCTGGCAGGTGAGAGGGGGCAGGACAACCAGGTCATTACACCAACTAAGCACTTACTATCTGCCCCTCAGTGCAGAGCCCCATGCCCCCTCCACTGGGACCCCTCTTCTCATAGGAGCGCCTCGGGACTCAGAGGACCCCAGGGTGCCCAGCCAGGCCCATCCCACAGCTGAGGGGTCTGTGTGCCCCATGTAGATGCCAGTGGCCTCTCAGCCACCCCAGGCTGCAGGAGGGGAGAGGGAGGGGCTGTGGTCATGAGGCAGGTGCTGGGCAGGTGCGGGGGAGGGGACAGCTGTTCCGCACCCCCTGGTGGTGACAGCTGCTGCCCGATTTAGCTCACAGAGCTGGGTCTGGCCAGATATGTGGTGGTGGGCGGGGGGGGGGGGGGGGGGGGGGGGGGGGGGCGGTCTCACCCCCAGGGCACCTCTTAAATAGCATGGTCGGGCCCAGGGTTCAGCCGCCACCGACGCCAGGTGAGAGGGGCTGCTCCTTCCTCGACCTCCCCACCGCAAGGCTCT